AAGGCTAGTAGCCTTTTTTTGACAAGTTTTTCAATCACTTTGGAATGTGTTGAAAAATATTGATTAATAATTAATTAATATTAAAAACATTGAGATAAAGTAACTCCTTATCTCTAGTGTTATTTTCGAAGTGTTCGTTAAAAACATATATAAATGGGCTAATTGATTTACCGAATCTGAGTATAATTTTCCAACTTGTACTTATTCAAATAACATATTATAGGTACAATATAGCTACACGTGTCACAGTTTTACAAACTGAAAACTTCCAATAAAGTGTTATTTTAATACGTTAGCATGGATTTTCAAATGTGTTAAACAACACATTTTATGAGACATAAATCTCACACCGGCTCACTGAACAATACTTTTTGACTAAGTTAATGAGAAGAGCTGTTTTCTATAATCCTTTTCAATAGGTAGATGAATGTAACAGAAATGTTTGTGACTAAATACGGTTATTCATGGCAATATTAAATGTTTTCCTTTGATTTTCAATTATTAAAAACCTGTATGTTTGGAATGGTGACCTTGAAAACATGAAGTGAAAGTTTTAATTATTCCGTCCTTATTATTGACTGATCTAACATAAATATTTAATACAAACTGCGTCTGAAGACTGTATCGAGGAGTGATACATAGGTACGTATAAGAAAATACATATTTCAAAATTATCATCCCTCCCGACTACCTTGCTTCATCGGACCAAAACCTGTCATTTGCATCGCTTAAGGCTTTGCCAAACAAAGATTGAACACCTGGATGGCAAGAAGATTTATGGACTTTTGGCAGAATCTTCCAGGATTATCTCACTCCAAGGCGTTTATTCACCCATCGAAGTTTGATACCAAACAGTTGTTGGACAACAGTAGGGATGAACTACGATCTCTAACAGGCCTTCTTACAGGTCACTGTCATTTGAATCATCATATGCAGAGACTTGGGCTGTGGGAAGACAGTGTGTGTCGCCTCTGTTTGGCAAATGAGGAAATAGCAGAGCATATACTTTGTGTTTGCCCCGCTGGAGACCGAATTAGGTTCTTAGAGTTCAGCGGAGCCGTACTCTTACCATCTAACCTGAAATACCACTCACCATACAAACTAATCGGCTTCGTTAATAAGCTGCGTTTATTTGGCCGAGTGTGAATCGGTGTGAGCCACAATAAACCCTTGCGGGTTGCGGTGGAGGGTCGAATAGACCCACTCACTTTAGACCTAACCGATACCGTAGTTTCTGGTAAATGCCAGAAAACAACTACTTCCCCGACTAATACCACGTTGAATATTGAATTATATCTCACAGACATTTATGCAAGATAACTCACAGAGGCTAGTCTCGCAGATGTTTCTCATTCATCCAGCGGAAAGATCATGCTGAAATTATTCTTATAGATAACTTTAGACCGGTTTCGAAGTATCACCTCTCATCAGTACAAGAAAGATTCGACCAAAACAGCAAAGTGTCTGGAACTCTATTAATTTCAGCGTGGCTCGACTGCATGTATGAAACCATCGACCAAGAGAAAAATGTATAACTAGTAACAGGTATATCCCATGAACAAAGCCCCAAGCGGGAAAGACACTTTCCATGTACCAGAGATCAACATGTGTCTGAAGAGTATGGATGAGAGATACAAACGTATAAGAAAATAAATATTTCAAAATAAAATCTCGAAATTTTTATCTCTCCCAACTACCTACATAGTATGGTAAATGCCTGCCAGAAAACAACTACTTCCCCGACTAATACTACGCATTTACCAGAACCTACTGTGTAGGTAGTTGAAAGAAATGAATATTTCGGAATATTTATTTTCTTATTTAATGCAAATGCAAAAATTTTGAAAAATAGTGGAGAATATTCAAAACGCATTTAATTTCCGTTGAATTTGTAGGGTGTTATGAAAAAAGACTGTTGTACGCTTAAACTCGATTACACTAAAGATCTGATTCGATTTTTCTGCAATGCATTCCCTTCAAAACATGATATATCAAAAAATCGTCAAACAAAAATTTCATAACTTCTTCCAGACTTTTGAATTCTAAATAATGGTGCAGTTTAGAAAGTCTGAGAGAAAAATTAAAATAGTAGCTGACAAAAGTTTTCACTGTGAGAACCTACAACTGTCCTCTTTTATATGTAAACTAATCTGACTCGTGAAGCTTCAAACCCTACATATCTAAATGTTGTACTCATAATGAGTACGAAGTAACCGCAGCAGTCTATTTAACAAATTGCCCCACCTGTATTCTTTCATGTATGATAAGGAAGTCATTTGAAACACCTTTTCTGTTCCATTTTTTCTAATCATGTTGATCTCTAGCTTTATTATTGATTGTTTATTTTCTTTTCACTTTCGTCTCATTAGGAGTTCAGTTACTCTCGTATAATATCTTGGCTGTCAGGATATAATCGTTATTCAATAGTTACTCATATTTCTGAAGCAAAAAACAAGATTTACTACGAGTAAAACAAGTTGTTATAGACCAGAAGAGGAAGAGGAACGGTTCTTTGCACAGGTCAATGCCTCTATGACGGTTCAAGAATGAATAATAAATTATTGTTCAGTTTTTATTGTAGTTATTTTCTTTCTTCTTTTCTTTGGAAGTTTCTCCTTATTTCTTGTTTAGTTATGGATAAGTAAAAAGCCAAAAATCTTCTTTAGCGAAATATTATTCATTCCTAAAAATGTTCCTTTTTCAATTTGATGGAATTATTATGAATGGGGTAAATTAACTGTATGAATGTGGATACGTTCTGCCATGGTGACCTATCAAAAACACTTTTATCTCACCGGAACAAAAATGCTGTCTCTCAACGCATCATCGGCAGATGAGTAAAACTGTTATAGTCATTATTTTATTCTGTTAAAATAGCCATGTCCTGTTAAAATTGTCTTATGATTACCTACTAAAACTATTTTTTTTCCTTACAGGTAGGTAACTGATAAGAAACATGGCTGAATCTAAGAAGAAATGTTGATTTGAAGGTAGTTGACAATGTTTCTTGGTGCATTTCATTAATTCGGACTTCGATTGTATAATCTAATATATAAAAATGGATGTTTGTTGGTTGGTTGGTTGGTAAGTGATAAACTACATCGCTCAAACCATCGTGATGAAACTTGACATGTATAAGTAATTTTTCATAGAGGAGGTTTTTAGGGTATCGATTTTTCTGTAACTCGCCACTAGATGGCGCTGCAGAACAATTTTCTGAAAGCACTGTTCTATAACGCTGCGCACGACTAAGTTCGTTGATTCTGATTCTGTCAAAACATTGGAACAGCAGCGATACAGCAACATATAGTACTAGTATGATATAAATTGATATGAAATACCGAAAACAATCTGTAAAAAATTAATAAAAGAGGTTGGCTGAAAAAAATAACAATTATATTAAGCAAAAAAACCTGACTATTTATAGATCATTCGAGTGTTTCCAACTATCCCCTCTTCCCTTTCTCCGCTTCATCGGTTTTAACGGAATCTGGCCGTTTGGCGGGAGTTAGTCGTGTTCCGCTTGATTAGAGGTTTCCATATGTTGCGTATCTCTTCGCTAGCTTGGCTAAACACGTTGTTGGACAACATATATGCGGCTTCTTTGAATTTTCTCCTAAGCCAGTGTTCTTCCTTGTGGATGATGATTTCAGATTGAGCCCACTTGATGTTATGTTGATGAGTCCAAACATGCTCTGCTATTACTGATTTGCTGGTTTCTCCTCGCTGTGCGTGTTTCTTATGCTCGGCCAATGAAAGTTCACATTGCCAAGTTTATCACCAAGCTTAATCGTGGCTGTGAACCTGAAGATTGGGGTTGAAAAAAGCATAGAAAAATTGGGATACCGATCCAAACTTCCAAGCCTCCAATCTCTCCAATAGGCTTTAAATGATCTGCAGTGTGCGGTAATATCATGGATATATCAAAATTAATCGAAGAAAATAAATTCGAAGATGAATTGCCCACAATGACACCAAATCTAACTCCTGTTATTCCGTAAACATTCACCTCCGATACTGAATTAAACCCTGAACCGCAGCCAGGGCATCAAAGTAAATGAAAAAACAAAAAGACGTGGGTTTTTGATCAGTTGAAATTCCCGTTGTCATTGTCTTGTTTTGTTGATTTGGCAACGTTTTGTTTACCGCTGGTTTTTATAGAACTTGTTTATAAGTACGAGTATTCACATTATCTGTTGGTTTTTGTTGGTGCTGTGTTTTTGCTTCCAATTCCATTTTCATCAGTTTTTCTTCTAGGAGAATATTGTTGCTTCTTAATAATTTGGTGATTTCTAATAAAAGATTATATTTTTCATCTTTTTCCTTTAAAAGTGATTTCAACATACGGACTTCAATTTGAAGCTCACTTTTCTTGCTTCCATTTACATCTTTATCACATTGTTGACAGATGATTCTGGTATCACATATTTTCTTACACTCCAATTTCATTTTCCCAGCACAGGATAAATGAAATATGTTTCCGCATATAATGCAGACTAAATTTTTTGTTGATTTTGATTGGCAACATTCAAATTGTTTTTCTTTAAAGTTTTCATCACTTATTTTACAGAGCTCATTTATCGCGTGACTACTAGTCTTCGCCATCTTAATACTTAACCTCTCAATTTTATCAGCTAGAATTTACTGGTCTTCAGACAATACAGTTTCTATCTATCTATTTAATAGTCTTGATGCTTTGTAATACTTTAGATTACTTCATTAAAACAGAAAACTAGAACCACTGGCTTATAAAAAATACAACACAAACACAACTCTCACACAGCAGCACTGTGATACTGCGAGTTTCAATGTGTGGGAGCAGTGTTCGTATTGTAAAAATGTCTTAATATTAGACTGCTGAGAGTGTAAAGAATGAAATGGTAACAAACAAATGGAGAGTATGTCTGAAGATCCAATGATCTATAAAAAATTGATAATGAAAAGAGAACTCATAACATACTTTGCATAATTTCGATAATTGTCTTCCATTTACAAGCTTTAGTCACTGATTTTCTTTAGTTGTATAAATACCTTTTAATACTATCACAATCGTCTTCATTTTCAGAAATACGCCTACTTTCCCTTTCGATTCTCAACTCTGATTCCTGCATTTCTTTGAGACGTTTTTGGGTCTCCATATAATGTTGTCTCTGAAATTATTACTTTTCAACATTAAATTTCGAAATATTAACCATATCTTGTACCTGTTGATTCTGTTCCATTTCTTTTGCGAGCCTCTCTTTTTCTTCTCGTTCTTTTTGTAGCTTAAGCATCTCATCATAAAAACTCTTTGAAGCTGGTTTATTGTGTTTGTGTAAAAACTCTTGTACATCCTGAGAGAGCAAAAATATCATTTCTTCGCCTTTCAACTTATTTGCCCTTTTTTCTAGCTTTTCTTGTAGTTCACTCAATAACGTATTTGATAACCCTTTAGGATTTTCAAGAGAAATTTTTGGAACACTGTAAATCATAATATATCATAAATCCTGTCAGTAAAATGTGAAAAAATACTTGCTAGATATAAATGTTTTTTTTTCTACTTTTGTTATTATACGAAGAATGGAAAACTTCCTTCAGGGAACTGCAAGATAGAAGTTTCAGATATAACTCAAATAACTACCACTTCTTCCTAAGGATTTTTTTCTATACTGAAATCACTTTTTTCTCAATTTTTTTGGTATTTGATAATGTTCCATAAGTCAGTTTTGATATATATTGTAGCAGAAAAAGTTTTGCTATATATTTTTCATTCACCATTTATGAATGGACAGACCCATTACTTTATAAAAATTAATAACACTATCCATGATGAAAGTTAACATTTTTTACAAACATTTTTTTATACTGAAGTTTGTGAACTTAAATTGCAACATGCTTCGTCAAATTGCTAAATAGTGCTTATTATAACTCAAGTAGTTATTAAGAGACCCCAGTATAACATCTGTAGGTGGATGTACTTATTTCAGACCGGCTTTTTCTTCCCGGTTGTGTCTGAAAGAAATATTTGTAGATGATCTACAATTTGGCTAGAGTTTCCATTGATAATTTTTAAATTTTTTATGAACTCTGAGTTTTCCATTCTTTTTTCTATATTAATTTCGTAAAAAATCAAATAAAAAAATCCTTACCTATTGGGATACAGATGATTGCAAATTATGTGTAAATCAACTCTAACATAAAATTCTTGGGTACCAGAACTGCCCTGATGGGGAGTTAAAGTAATAGAAACATTCAGGGGTGTCCATTGATTCCAAGCAGATTTTGTACGGAGATCCTTCAAATCTTCATAAATTGCCTGTTCCAATATTATAGGTACTGTAAATTTAAAAGTGAAATGCAAAGCATGACTTTACCTGTAAAGCTTCCAATTCATTTCTCTGACGATCTTCCAAAGACTCGTCTCTAAACATTTTCACATCTCATGAACTATATTTTTAACGTTCATTTATTTCACGTATGACAAAAAAATAATGGTCCAGCCACAGTATAATACTAAAAGATTCAGCACTTGTTTTCATTGATCAAATTTTAGATTTGAGTTTTAAGCAAAAATACAATACGAATACACATACGTCACGGCACAGCATAATTGTTAGGTATGCTGTGGTCACAGATTGTTCTTTCCACAGAATGCAACCATAGCACAGACCATAGTATGATACAAGATACAACTACATTTTTAGATATGTAACAGCATAACTGTTGGCGACAAATCCTACCAGACCACTAGATGCAATGGATGTTTATGTAACTACAACTCAGATATACAGAATACTGTAAATTGATTCAAAAAAAAAAAGAGTGAGAACTGTTTTATCGATAGGAAAATTTGGCGGTTGATTTTGAATTCTCAGTAAGTATCAGCGGCATTTTTTGTGATAATGGTGGGAATATAAAAAATTTGAATACACTGTAACTAGAAGTCTACTAAAGTCGCTGAAGGATAATATCGACAATTCACTTACAAACAAAATTAAAATTGCCAAGACCATTGAAAAATTATCAGATGAAAACAATCAATGTGAAACGGAAACTTACCTTCTTGTTCCGACTTCAACAAAAGACATCTAAATATACCAAGCATTCATGATTGTGTCCAGATCTAGGAAAATAAGCAACACAAGCTTTGCTTAGGCGTTTCCCAA